ACTGGTTGCTTTGGAACCTGTCTGGAAATAAAAGGTAAAACATGTTGGGACTAAAAGCGGAACAGAGAAAGGCGATTGAAAAGGGCGACGAAGGCAGGCGGACATCCCATGATTTCGGTTGTCAGTTAAGGAGCAGGGCAGGACACGTCATGGGCAGCAACCTAGCCACCCAAAATGGGATCTATGAGAGGTCTTTCAGGCTTCCGCACCTCCTCAAGCGGTTTCCCCGCCCCTCATCTTTCAGAGTTTGAGATGGGGACCTCACTTGGCCAGTGACCAGCCAAAACAAAGTCTACACTTTTTGGGCCACCTCTGGCCAAAAAAGGAGAGCCACCAAGGAAAAAAACGTGCAAAGTGTGTCCACCGGCTGGGTGAGGGACTGCTTCTCTACGGTGAAAATTCCAAGTCCGGCGGCTCGGCTTCCGACGTCCGGCGGAACTTGCTGGGGGTCCAGCGGCAACCATAGCTCGGGCCCTTCAAAGCTATCGGAGGGTTCTGCAGTGGAGAGGATTGAATAAGTTGGTACCGTTCCTTTTTTTCTGTAGTCTATTGTAGTAGGGGAACCCTCCCCAAAAAACGGGACTACTGCTGGGGGACCTGGCTATCCCCTAAAGACCCATAGCCTCGTTCAATGCACGCCGGGTGTGGGGGGGGGGAGAAGGGACGTTCAGCACAAAAGTCAGGCGGCTCCTGTCCCGCAGTTCAAGCTGTCCCCCTGCTCTCACACGCCTTGACCATCCCGGCTTCTTCGCCGGCTCGCCGCTCTCCGCCGCCTCCCGGCTAACATGGAACCCGTCAAAGGGTCAGAGGAAGATGGTCTTCCAGAACCCCCTGTCAGTCTCCATGTTTGCGGGTGTCTTGCAATACTACAACAAGAAATCGCCATCCGCTTGTGGCTTTCTTTTGGGGAACCGACAATTACGGGTCATGTGGCAACCAGCAGGTATCATCAATGATGTGACCACATCCGGCACGAAAAGAGCTCCCTGCGAGAATGTAGTTAAGACCAGCAGCTACAACAGCTTGCAACTTAGAGCCACCATCACGCAATACTTACAAATCGACCACCACCACAATCAGCATATAGGCACAACGTGCGAGCACATGGCAGTTGTGGAGTAGCTCTGATGATGAAGCCACGCTCGTGCTAGATGTGTGTTGCATGATTGGACACTGACAAGGCATAAACAAATACCTTCAGTGCGCGTGAGAGCAAGAACCGCTGCAAGTGGCCTGACCCTCGGCCGCAAGAGTCGCAAGAAACGCTGACTTACAAAGCCAGGGATCATATCTCAGACTGTTCACACATTTTACGCTTTTTACCACACTGCGCTACCAGGATCTCGCAACCACGCATGATGTGAACAATGCCATGACATCCTGGCAACACACGACTTCAAATAAGGTTTGGAGAACTATTTGGAATGCCCTGACAAATACTGCAATCATCACATGAGCATGAATTTGGGGGACCGTCATTTAGGTGGGGAGTTATGTCCAACCATTTGGGAGGATGTTCCCCGTCAAAAGTCATGGCCACATTGCGTGTTAAAACCGCCATTCACAGAAACCAGCTACAGGACTTTTTACAGGGCATTGGCTCAACACCCTCCAACAACAAGTTGAGTTCCTGTAGAATGTCCTGGTTTCTTAGAACCATGGTTGAATCTAGTTAAAATCAATCCCGAACTGCCCGCCTTGGGGGGAGTGACTCTTTGTGTCGATGAACTTGCACGTGCTGTGGCCTGAATTCAGGCGAGTCAAAAAGAAGCGATCTCCTCCTGCGCTTTCCCAGTTGCTTCAGGTACCCCTTGTATCCTTATCTGGTGGTTGGTTCTTGTAATGAGAAACCACCCCAGACCAATGAGAGGGAAGCTGGTGGTTATACAAAACGGGATCCTTTTGGGGGCTGACAATGTTTCGTGGTCACCAGACAAACATGCAGCAAGTGCCACTGAATAACTGGGCTTTTGCATGGTGTTTGAAGGCATGCTGCAAAGAGGAAACCATTCTGAGGCCACCCCCTCTATTTTGGGAAACACAATGTCAACTTGAGACCAATCAGAATTCTTGTTGGGTCCCATCGTGTTGTTGCATTGATATTTTATATCTGTCCACCCATACCCTTAAAAGTTTGGGACCCCTCATTATTGGGCAACATCTTCTCTGGTGTCCTTTTCACTTGGCCGTACCCCTCGGGGTTCATCTAGTCAGTCCAGAAACTGTCCGGGATTCAGCTGGAGGGGCGCGCACGGAAGTGGACATTGCGAGTTGTGGCCTTCTCGGAAGTGATGCGCTCGCATGGCTAATGTCCTATCGCATAGGGCAATCCAAAACATCATTCTTGAAAACTCGCTGGTTCTCAGCAGGCAATGAGGGACTGACCCCTATTCACCATCCCCTATGGTTTCCTTTAAGAGAATCCCCAAACGGTTCATTCCCAAACCCGGAACGGTCCATTCCCTACCTATCGCAGCAAGAAAACCTGCATTTCTGAAGGACAAAAAAAACGAGTGGCGACTGGAACCCTGAAGCACAACTCAGTGCAGTCACGTCACATCCTCGAAGCTTTGTCCTGATCCGGCACTTCTCGGCGGGAAGCTGCAAAGAATGGATCTGGACTCATCTCTGGGCTGCCCGTTTGCAGATCCCCTGCGAAAAGTGAATAACTTTTGGTGGCACCACTAAACACTAAAAGTCTAAAAAGCTAAGGGGATGGCTGGGAGCAACCAGGATCTCAGCTTCCTCAATTCCATGCGTATCTGAAATCTGAACCGGACTTGGACATGAATAACGTCTTGATACATCTTCCATCTACGTCAGGCAACTATCAATCCAGTGATTCTGCTACTTTCACGGCACATTGATGGCTTCTGTGACCCTAATTCAAAGAGCCTTCTCGCATGAGGATCTCGCTACACAGCATGCAACAACCATTGTGGGCAAACTTGGGCCTGCAATGTGCAGACTTGGGTCTGCAAAGTCCTTAAAATCATTGACAACGACGATGCTTTTCTGAGAATGTATCTCGAAATGAGTTGAATGATTCCATGCATGTGAGGTGTTTTGGTGTAAGTTTGTGTTTTGTGTTTTGTTTTGTGCCGTGTTGCACTGCGCTGTGCTGTGTCGTGTCGTGTGCGTGTGCTTTGTTGCATACCCTCCCCCAAATTTGAGGCCTTCTCCCGTTTCCAGACAAACCCATCCGGTGTCCCTTTACACACCGTCCGACGGGGGTCCGCAATTTCAGCTCCCGAAACTGCTGTTGGCCCATCTTGTTGATCCAAGAAGCGTTCCGTGCCACTGGACGCAGTAGTCGGCGCCTGATATGGGCAGGTGCAGACGGCAGTTCCCCGTTGGTTTTCCTTGAGAGCACGCGCAAAAAGAGTAAATTGGTAAATGCACTGGAAAAAACAACACCCATGCAAGAGTGCTTTGCTTGGTCGTTCCCCCCCTTCCCTTCAAGGTTCAAAGCTTCACATCAGAAGGACAGTTTTGGTTGTTGTTGATCGCGCAACAGCAGGTTTGCCAGAACCCCTCCACAAAAAATAGGGCCCACGTCTCACAATAAGCACTCATTTTGAGGGTCACAAGCTTTCTGAGAATCTTAATCAATCCAGCTTCATACAGCAAACTGCTCAGAAATTCGGCGAAGCACGATTCTGCTTACTGTCCTCAGGGGGTCCACTTCTTTTCCGCAAGCCTCCCCAAGGCCCTAATCATTTTCCCAAACCCATAAGAGGGCCCCAGCTTGCATGGGCTTCGGATGACTTCAAAAACAACACAAGTGGAGTTTCCAAATGGGCGACATCAGCTACACATTCGCAAAGCTTTGAGCTTGAGCTCCATCATTTTCCCAACATCTCTGCGAGGGCAAAGTGGCAAAGTGCCTTGTGTTTCTCCCATCCACTCGCCTGTGCGTTGAGCGCGGAAGAAGAGCTCGGGGCTCTTGCCTACAGGGTTCGGCTTCCGGAAAATGGGGGAGGGGGGTTGGGAATGTTTTAGTTTTCGCAAAATGGCCCTGACACGAAGGGCAATCGTGCTGCTATGTCCGGACGTGTATGGGTGTCTTTTTTTGAACCCCCCCCCTGTTAGTTGGCTTCAAGGGGAAATCAAAAGGAAAGCCTTAAAAAAGACAGACGCATTGACAGAAAAGGGAATATGTGCCCTTTCTAGCACCTTCATGAGAACCCTGGAAACCTGGACGACATGCAACTGGGACCTAAGACTAGGGCCATGCAATTCCCCGGCAACAGATAAGAAAGGCTTTCTGACATGTAGGGGTTGAGCGATATTCCATTTAGGGCCCCAAAATGACCAAGGGCAACATTTCCCATTTAGTGCGAAATATCATCGTATCAGTGCTTTCCCCAATGGTCATCCTATAAAGGACGTTTTGATCAACCGCCATGTCCCAGGGTTTTGAAGGCATCCCTGAGTTCCAAAAAGCCAAAGGCACCAATTCAGCGCTTGCCGAAAGGTGATGTCGGCGAGGGATGTCAATCCCTTTGGCCGAAGTGTTCTGAAGCGAAGTGGGCACGGTCTCGGTGTGCCTGTGAAAGTCTGGGATCAGCCGAAGGGAAAGGGTGGGTGTGTACTTGAATCATCTGTCGCCAATTGGGCAAGTTTATAGTACACGTCGTATTTGACAGGGGAGGTGGCTCTCCTGGAAATCAACCTAGAACGGGAACAAAAAGCTCACAACAGGAATATGTTCATACAACAACATCCTATTTGGGTGTGTCTCAAAATAGGGGAACCTTCAAAATGCTGCTGTTCTTGGTGTTGTCCCCTTAAGCCAACCCCGAAAACAGGTACCCTCAAAAACGGACACACCCATTTCTCGAAACCAACAAACTGGTCCGGGCTGTTTTCAGATCTCTGTAAAATGCTAAAAGCTGAACTTTTAGTCAGTTAACTGGACAACCCCCACGAAACTCTAGAAACCTCACAGCTAAGGAGCCTCCTGCTGGGACCCGCCAAGTTATTGCTTGCCAGCTCCTTCACGTCTTTTTCCTCCCAGCAGACCACTGTCCTCCCTCCTCCCTTCTCCGGTCTCGCGCCTGGCGCAGCGCTCCAAGCGCCGACTGCAGCAGGTTGCTGCTGAACAGGGAGGCGGTGCCTACACGTCAGGCCCAGTGCAGTTGGGGTCACGTCGCGGGCTGAGAACTTGAGGCATTGGCGGCTAAGCATTGGGATTGAACACCTGGGGCCGAACCGAAGGGCTAAGCAAACATAATTTCAGAACACCAGCTCGCCCAGGGCGTTTCACTGTTGCAGAAGGCATTCAATTTGTTGTGCCGGTTACGCAAGCAAATCTTGGTGGACATGTTGCCTAGCCCGTGTGGGGTTACTGTAAAGGTTGAACTCATGGACATATAGCGGCAACAGGTTCGGCCATCGCCATGTGAAGCGGACAGCCATGGAGCTTGGCATCCAGTCAGGTAGGAGCATCACAGGCGGCAAAACACATCTGGTCCGTCAAGGTCATTCAACGAATCAGATTGACTCCACATTGCACATCTCTAGCCTTACAAAGTGTTCGGCGACAATAGGTAACGTGACATTTTTAATTGGTGCTTTGACCTTGGCCCCCCGAAAACACACCGCTCACTTCAAACACAGATCCCAGCACACTGGGCCAAGCTAGGCTTCATTTTGGGAGTGGTCTATGCACCCTATGAACGGGCCATCTTCAGCTGCCATTGGACATTTGAAGGGATCCACCTCCTGGTCTTGAAACTCGTGCCTCGTGCACGGGCGGGCAGGAGAAGGGAACCAAGTCTTGTTTGGGGTTGATTCCATTCCTTGCGTGTCCCAAACCCACCAAACAAAAAGGGACAAGGCATGGAGTCCACTAAACCTGGGCCAAAATTCCGGGACACCAAAACCAATCAAAACATTAGGTCCACTGCCAAAAGGGAAACTCCAAAGGGAAAACCAATGAGTTTTTCCCATGGGAAACCCAACTGCACCGGCGGACACTTGTTTTTGTCGCCAGGTCGCTCTCGCTCACCTTGGGCGCGCTCGACTGCGCCTCCTCCGCCTGCCGTTTTTCGAGCGGAGAGGTCGAGGGGATTTGGCCCCAAAGCTTTCGGTATGTCACCGAAGAACATTTCATTCTGAATTTCTGGGTGACATGTTCCCAGGTCCCCAAAGCTACGGCTGACAAACACTGACTGGGCCTCTCAAAGGAGCCGTAGCAAACAAGCTCATGTAAACAGCATCACACACCTGGGCTGTCCGTTTTCAGATCCCCTGCTACAAGTGTTGCTTTGTGGTGAAAACGGAAGCCCAACCACTAAACCCGGAGAAAAAAAAAAAAAACTAGACATGAAACAAACGGTCCAAGAGTCCAAGGCATCCAGCAAGCTTCAACCGTGGTATCTGGGCACCTCGGCCTGGCGCCAAGCTTGACTCCGAATGGGCCGAGGATCGTTCACGAAACTAACGTGCCTCAGCATGGCTTGCTTGCGGGCTAAGAAACCAAGAATCAGAAGCAGCTACAAGTACACCCGAAAAAAAAGAAAAGAAGATCTCTCCCAAGCCCAGCTTCCCAACACCTTCAGGGGTCGATTTTGTTTCTGTCACTGGAATGGCGAAGAGGGAATGGGTTTGGCATCCCCACATGTCCAACCAGTGTAAAACAATGTCCGAAAGTTGCAGGATGTGTTTTTACACATAATAGCTTTTGGGTTCCATGTGAATCTGCATGAGCAAACCGATGCGAAAGCAGCCCATCCGTATTCCTGTAGTCAATCCTGCCACCAATGTGCGTCCCAAAATAACCCCAGGCTTTACATAGGGGCTCCGGAACATATGAGAAAAAAAACGCGCTGCCCTTGTGGCGTCCTTTTGCGAAAAGTAAACATCTAATTGCCGTCTGGTTGCCATTGACTGCACGAGGCAAGCCTGAACCAACACTGTTGACCTTCCCACTGCAAAACTCGCGGGGTGATGAGGCGAACTAAGCTGTGGGTGTGAAATGGGGGGGGGTCTGGATACAAGTGCTCATCTTTTTTAGGTTTCCCTTCGGGTAAAATACGCATAACATGGTTGTTTGTTAGGGGACGCACAAAATGGTGGTGTTCCTTTTGACATTACTTTAAAACACCATCACACAATGGCGTACCAACTCAACAAACCAAACCCCTGATAGCGGCCTATTTCGCACCCCATCCGCCCATATCGCCTCTTGGAACTGCTCGGTGAGGCCAAAGTACTCCACGAGGTTCCAAAACTGGTCCACCTTCTCCTCGGGGACCTGGCGGCGGAATTTGTGCGGATTCTGTCTGTTGGCGGAGTCATTTGGGAAAGAAACAACTGCAGCTCAAGGTAATCAAATCCTGGCTGCGTCTCTAGGCTGACTTCTTCCCAAGGGAAGCAACATGTGGCTTCAAACCAACTGCATGGATGGCAAACAGTAATACATTGCATGTCATTCACTTGCGGCCTTCCGTCAAGATGAAATGCGCATGGAACGCAAGCTTGCTCTGGCACGTGCGGTGCTGTGTTTTGAAGACATGAGAGTTACGCCACTTTGTGGGGCTTTGAAACATCTACATCTCCCAGCCGGACACATGCAATGCAGTAGGCTTCAGGAAACACATGTACAAACACAGCTTCACAGTCGGGCTGCAACTTCAGGCAATCAAAATAGAGTATGTGATGTGAAACTTGGGGTCTTGGATGTCACAAGTCCAATTGATTGCCAAACAACCAGCCGTGAACATGGCCTTGTTGGCTTTCAAAGGCAAGCCCGACAAAAGACACCGATACAAATTTGGGGTCCGCCAAGTTTCAGTTGGGTTGCTTCGAAGCTCCCAGGTATGGTCAAAAGGTGGGCTCTTGGCGATTCGATAGTTTCAGCCACTCGCTGCCCAGCCTCTCAGGTTGCGGAATTGCGACAACTTCGGTATGCGGACCATGCCGATGGACCATCCTCCCATTTCCCGTTTTCTGATTTCCGCGCTTGTGCTTCTTACGAGCTAGCCAAATTGCGCGCTGCCGTTTTCCAAGTCGTGTTCTCCTGAAACTCACAAGTCACAAATTCGCCGGCGAAATGTCCGAAAGTCGAAATGTCCGAAAGTCGAAATGTCCGAAAGTCGAAATTTCCAGAAATTCGAAATTTCCGAAAGTCGAAATTTCCGAAATTCAAAATTTCCGAAATTTCCGAAATGTCCGAAACTCGCCCGTTTTCCAAACTTCGCACTTCGCCCCCGCATCCCGGGCCCGGGCCCAGGTCCTCCCTCCCCCCCCGCCCCCTCTTCGCCTTGGGCAGGCGCGCGGGGCCGCCCCGTTGGCTTTCCAGTCGCTTGGACCGGAGGAAGTTCAGCAGCTGCCGGAAGCAGCTGGGGTCGAAGTCCAGGAAGAAGCGACCGTAGCCTTCGCGCGCGGAAGGCGCCCAGGCCTTTTCAGCTGTGGTAAAGGCAGAAGAAGGGCTCCAAAAAAAGAGGAAGAAGAAGAAGAAGAGGAGAAGCAAAAGAAGAAGAAAAAGAAGAAGAAGAAGAAGAAGAAAGAAGGGCTCCGGACACCCTTTACACATCTTCCCAGATATTTTGGTTTTGCACAGAAGGCCCGGTCACCAGTAAAGACAATGCAAGGCGTGGATGCATGTGTTGCCCGATGAAATCGAAGCAATGTGGGATGTCGAGCTCATGTGGCACCAGCTCTGAAGGGCCGCTTGCAGGGTTGGGCGATTCAACCTGCTCAAACATGTCCAAACCACCATTCGGACCATTCGGGAAGCGCCCCGTTTTTGGGGTCTCGTCCATTGCTTAATGGGGGTTGCTTCCGTCTAGGAAGTGCCAATCATTTGCATGACACGAGTCTGTGTCTGTGGGCAACGCCCTTGAGATTCCTGGATGCCCTGGGTGAACCTGTGATTCGAACGCTTGGAAACCCAGAGCGGGTTTTACCGGCAGAAAAACGAGATAACATGCAGGGCAAGCGGTTTGAATTTGATGTTTCGGTTATATGGTCACGGACGGCTACTTCAGGAAACAAGGCGACCCCTGGAGCCGTGGCAAGTATTGGTGGTGTGAGCAGGCTGGAGCAACCTTCCAGGCTTGGATTCTATTGAATGCATGACTTGAGTGCAAATTCACCCCATCCTCCTAAGTCTTGGTGCTCATCATCAATAATATATTAATCATTTGTACTGACTCCCTCGGAAACTTGGAGAGTAAACCCAATACTACACATGGACACATCTTCGGAACCTCCAGCAATACATCACAAGCCCACGCCCCCACTTAAACTCATGTTGTAACCCGTCCACCCCGTGAACCCATGAACCCATAACCCTGCAAACCCATGCTAAACTTGACATCCGAACTTAATTACGTGCGTATGACCGTCTGGCCTCCATGCCCTTCCCACGGACAAACCCGACCCTCAAGCTTGTGTCATAGGAGCCAACCCTGACCACCAAACAGCCCGGTTTCCTCCGAAAAATGTCAACCCCGAATTAGTATTCCCAGTGGTTGCTTAGAGGATTGTCCCTTTTTAGCGGGGTGTGGGCGACACCCTATCATTTGTCAATAGATTTGTTCATTTGAAGTCGAACCATAAGTTCTCCCTGTCGTAGGGGAAAGCGCGCTGGCAGTTCGTCGGAGAGCTGTCACGCTCGATGGATGACTCCCAGCGCCCGGAGAAGAGGTTCGCCAGGTACGAGCCCTGCGGATCGATTCCGGGGTGAAAGTAGATGGGCACCCGTCTTTTTTTGCAGGTACCTTTTTTGTGGGTTTGAAACGGAAACGAGAAGCAACACCGTATTTTAGCGGGTCCCCCAAAACAAGACACACCGAGATGGCACACTCAGATAGACTTGGGTAGGAGGAGTGGCTAAACCCAAACTATGCCATCTAGTTTCACCCAACTGGCGTACTCCCGTTCCAGCTCCAAAACTGGAGCCAAGCCTCACGGCAGCCGAGCACACAAGCGCCTCTTAAACTGAGTCGAATTCAAACTACCAAGGGCCACAGAAAATTCAAGCAAGACTTGGGTACCCGTGGATCACTGCCGAAAAGGCCAATACAGCCTGGCCCCTGCCACAAGCTGCTCAACGAGCATTGTAGATTTGGAATCCTGCAAATGAAGTGAGTATGGACAAATTCTGACAAACCTCGGTATAGGACGCATTTCACCATATCAAGAGGTTTTTGGGATCATCACCTTATGGAGGTCATGCTTACACCTGGACCGAGGGAATTTATGGCTTGTCGCGATGGCCCAATAACTGAGCAATTGAGCGCCTGGGATCACAACTCCTTCTGGTTTCCCTTGAGAAGCTGGGGGAGATTAAAAAAAAACACGGACACACACACACAAAAATAAAATAAACAAAAAACAACAGAAACAAACAGAAAAGACCGGCAAAAAATGAAAGCATCCCAGCCCGTTGTGCTTTCCTTTCGTCTGTTTGCTTTGGTTACGTTGCAAGCAGAGGTCCGACCGTGCACCATCCCCCAGCTGAGACTCGCCTCGTAGGTGCAAAGCGTGGAGCGCTTGGCGAAGAAGAACTCACCCCCCACATTCCTTGGAAGCGAATGCTCACCAAGCACAGCCCGTCAGGGGGGGAGTGAGGGAGTGCGTTTTTCAAGGAAGGGTTGTTGTTTTTTTTCCATTGACGAAAATTTCACACAGCAAACCAACCAGCAGGAGACAAGCCTACCAGTGGGAGAGCATCCGCACATGTGCGTCTGTTTTTGCCAAGACTTAAGCTTGATCTTGGGTACCTTGGATGGGGGTGGGCTGTGGCAATTCGAACAGCTTGGTTAAGCCGGACCCGTGATTCGTCCATGCCCATTTTGAGAGGGGCACAAAATAGCGGGCTGGGGCGAAACAAGCATTCGCTTGCAACATGCAACGCAGCCCCGCTGAGGACCCGCCGCCGGTCCAATACCTATGAAACTTCGTAGGAGACTAGGATCAGCGGCTAAGGCGTCACATGCCTCAAACACCAGCAAGGGTCACTGGCTTCCCCCTTCAGCAGGTTCCAAAAAGAAAAATCCAGATCCCCCCTGGAGAAAGCGGACGAGCTGCAAAGGAATCTTTGCGGGGCAGTGGCCTGGCCAACAGGGGTTGGGAAGGAACAGCCCAAGGTGTAAACAGACTACCACGAGACCATGGGCGGGCCATTCACGTCTTCAGCTGTGACAAAAGCTGTGTAAGCCGATCAACAATGTGCAAATGATGATGATGATGATGATGATGATGATGATGATGATGATGATGATGATGATGATGATGATGACGACGACGACGACGACGCCGCAACTTCCAGCTTCCCAGCAAGCCCAAACCATTCATCATTATCACCTTTGGGTGGACCCCATTGGCTTTGAAGGTTGATCGGCATTGGATGGTTCCCTATCGGTTTGTGATACTGTGTATATATAACACATAATATTGTCAGCTCATGTCTGGCAAGGCTTTTCATCTCTCGTGGCTGCTTGGCGGCCTGCATGCTGAACATGACATCATGCTCCGGTCTCAATCTACCATCATGCATCGGATCTGGGCAAATTGAAATCATTCACCGACTGCGAATAACAAATCTCCCAGTAAAGACCCCTTACAGCGGTGAGCGGGTTTTACCCCCAGGTGAGCTCGCTATCATCTGTCCGGATTGGATATATCTCCAAGCTTGTGATTCAGACCCGCCATGTCTCCTTTCGGCTACCTCCAGATCCACTTGCCCACAGGTCGCGCGTTTGTCCAAAATCGATATGTGGCCTGGCTGACAAGTGTCAGTGCCAGCACTTCATCATCAAGCTCACGGCGAAGGATGATGTCCACTCGCTCCTGGTCGTAGCCCAAGCCGTTTTTCTCCTCCTGAATCCTGCGAGTCCCAATACATCTTGGGTAGCTGACAAAGGCATGTTATTGCACAACAGAGAATGGAAGACTTGAGAGCCTGTAGCAAACAAACTGTGGCAAATTCATGAATTCATGACGCTCCAAAGCAAAATCTATCCTGCACGTGCATATTGTCAAAACTCGTGTGGGTGGATTTCTCCCTTCAATGTTCTAAGAAACCAGCTCTAGGACAAGTTATTCACGAACTGAGCCGCTTCGCTGTATCTGGAGTTGGTTTCTCAGTGCTCTCGTTGGCGTTGAGCGGTCGGCGTTGCCTGACGACGCTTTGGACACCTTTTGCCCTTCGCCAAAAACGGGTTGCATTGGAACGTTTTGATTCCGGTGGGACCAGGAAAGTGGGCTTGGTACTCTTTGAGTATTTGGGTTACTACCTCCTTTTGGCAACCTCCCGACAGGGTTGGAGAAGGCCAAGGGAAGGCCAAGGGACCCGAATGAAAAGAAACGACCAGCCCCGAAGTATCAACTTGTGTGGCTCTGGGTTGCACCCATAGAGATTGCAAGGGGTGGAATTCCCCCAACCCATTTCCTACACACACACACACACACGCGCGCACACCCTGCAACGACAAGGACCACCTTCGCTGGCCCTGTCCTCTGCTGACGCTGCTCCAGCTCCTTCGCGCTGGGCAAAGCAGTATAGTGAGAACAAATATATCGAATATAATTAGTAAGATTCAGTTGACATACCCAATTAGGTACTGATAGCACACCTTTGGACATTTCGCGAACAAATGGATGGGTCATGATTGCGGTGCCATCAGCTAAGTCACTGATTGCTACTCACGGGCTACCATTCAAACCATGCAGCTATGCGAAAAGCAGCCGTGTATGGCTACTTGCGCCCTGCCAACAAACAGGGGATGAGAAAGGCTCTCTGGATCCTCAATCTGGCCGTCTCCCAGACATGCGTTTGTAAGACGCAGATTAAGCCAGGTCGGTGCTTTGCTTTGTGCAGCCCCCTCTTCTCCAAAGACAACGACGGAACCTAAAGAGGGCAGGTGACTTTGATGAGATAGGCTACAACCACCCGCCTTTGGAGGAAAAGCGTAACCCCCGGCTTCACCAGGTGTTCCAGGAGTACGTACCCCTGACATGTGTATATTCTTTATATATATCTGCTACCAGCGTGAAGGGTACCCTTGTTACACCCACATTTTTGGTACAGGCACCAAAGCCATACATCAAAAGCACCTGACCCAACTCATGGTGGAGCCCAACATGCCAAAATGGCCACACTGCGCACCGTGAGCTTTTCAGCCCCCACACAGAAAGAACAACAACAACAACAAAAAACAAGAAAACCGAAACAAACATTAGAAACACATGCCAACAACCGTAGAACAAAACCGAAAAAACAAAAAAAGATAATAACAAAAAGAGAAAAGAAAAAGCAATGCCTACAGTGAGTTGTGCCTTTTGCTCCCGTGTTCTCCTCCTTAAGGCCTCGTCTCTCCTCCTCCAGGGCCTCGATGGCGGGGCACCCCAAGGGTTTGGGGAGTCGACCAAAGGACTCGGTGAGTAGCCTGAGAAAGGACTCGATGATCACATTTTTTTTCGGTGAGTAGCCTGAGATTCGATGATCACAAATCATACCCCCCCTATGAATAAACTGGGGCTGATTAATATGGGGTCAACATGAAGTCGCGCGTCAGCCTCGCGGCTTTTGCCCTCCGCGCGCCCAGTCCACTTCATGCCACCAGGACAGCACCAGGCGGAACTCTTCATCCGGAAGCTCCACGAGAAGCTTCAGCACCTCTCTCGAAATCCGTGAAAACGCCAGACCAAAACGCTGCTTCCCCCTAGTTGGTTGCTCGAATTGAAGATTTGGGGATTTGAACCCTTGGTTCTGGTAGAAGGTTGGTGGGAAACCACCCCTTAACCAATCCAACCATCTTTTAGACGGAACCTGATATCCTATGTGGCGCACGTGAGATAGAAAAGGAATTCCTCTGGGTGAGAAGGAAAACTGAATATCCAGTTGCCCAGTACCTCGAAAGGTAGAAACATATTTCGAACCCGTTTTGGGGTTGACCACGTTTAGGGAGAAATAATTAACAAAACAGAAAACGGATATCCTCAGCGAAATGGAGCCCTTTGAAGCTTTTCCGGCGTTTGGTTGCAGTCACCCTTACAAATGGGTGTGTCTCAAAATTGGGGAGCCTCCAAAATGCTGCTTTTCCATTTGCTTGCTCTTCAAACAAACCAAACCCCTCAAACAATTGACATCTCCTAATGTGTGATGTCCTGCTAAAACGGAAATATGAGTTGCAGGCAGCCGGTCCATAGTAAGGCTTCTGGGAATGGTCCTGTCCCACACATTTTGCGAAGGTAGCGGCCTTTGCCATTTCTTGTGCTTTCTGTTTGGTAGCTTTCAACGGCTTATTCATTCAGAGGGCAGCTGTCGGACATCTGGCAGATCATTTCTGTCAAGGGCACCTGCTCTGAAGCTGCAGCCTGCGAAAGAACACATTGAAGTGAGTTTCCGCGGGAAACCGATGGAAAGTTTGAAAGAGTGGAGTTTTGCAAGATGAGTACCCATGAAAAATGCAGGCCACAGAAATTCTGTTCTTGAAAGCCAAATTAAGACATGAACATTCGAGAAGAGTGCGTAATTATCTAGAATTGTTTTAAGTAGACCTTCACAAACACGCCATGTTTGGACTCTACCACAATCCACCACGGCCTGCTCCGTCCCGCCTCCTCCGCCTGATCAGACAGTTTTGCGCGCCCTGACAGCACCAGCGCGCGGGGCAGCGCAACATCGCCTGAGTTGCAGGCGATTCGCATAGGAATTGGGCCTCAAACAAAGGCCTTCCCTGTGGTACGCCTTTTAAAACCATCCAAAAGGGGAGTCAACATTTTGCAGAAACCTCATGACCATCAACATGTCCAAACCGTTGGTCATGAGTTCTGGCCCATGTTGTGTATATATATAATATTTAATACTATATATAATAATTATATATTTATATATATAATATATATATTATATAATATTATATATATAATATTATATATACAATATTATATATATACACAATATTTTACATATAATATTATTAAAACAACATGTGTATACATATATATATATATATATATTTGGGGGAGGGGCATTGCTTAAAGGCTCGCAGAGACGCTAGGTGCTTGCCCCGCATCCGTGGGAGTGGCTTCATCCTTCCCCTGATCCCTGACCGTCGGTGCCGTCCAAGCAAGAAGGGATCCGGAATCCAGTGAACCAACACGAGGAATCTGCAAACCTCACAATTCCCCAACTTCAATCCAAGCAAAGAACCTACAATCAGTGGAATCCCTCCAGAACCTTAGTGGAATCCCCCGTACCTAGGGCTCTTCATGGAGGCTTGGCCAATCCCAATCCAGAACTTCAGGGAAGCCGCTTTGGGTAAGGCATCTTGCGGAATTTTCTTTGAACAGCCCTGGTAGCTCGCCCCACACAAAAGAACCAGCGAGAGAGAGGCTCCAGGCTCCAGCTCGGCCCGCCCCCAACCGAGGCTCGATGCCAGGCCCAGGCATCCAGGCCCTCTGCCAGGTACACCACCCCCAGCCCGGCGTCGCAGATCAGCAGGCCCCGGCCTCCGGTTTTGTCCGTCCGTCCGGGCAGGGCCGCCGGCTGGGGCCGGCCGAAGCGTCGGTTTCTCCCGGGTACTCGGGTAACACGCCGTCAGCGGCTTGGATTGGGTTGGAGTTGGATCTAAGCCCCTGACTCTTGTGGGTACATGGGACACTGGCCCTCCAAATCGTCAGGCTCCAAACAACTAACTAGAGGATTTAGAGGGAAGCTGAGTTGCCCTTTTTGGAACAATCGTCGGTATGGTTCCTATTCTTGAGGCTTGGCACCTGTTGTTGTTTGTTGTTTAACAGCGGAGCCAAGGGGAAACAGTTGCGCCATTGTGGGGGGGTCCACTACAAAAACACACACCCACACATATACCACACAAATCGTAATGAAGAGCGGTACATTGGACCAGGAAGTGGTATACTATGGGTTCATGGACAATGCACGTGCTGTTTGGCAAATCGGTGAGTTGATGAAAATAATACCGGATGGCCTGAAACACCTTTTCATCCAACATGCTTTTAGCAAGCAGTCTGCATGGAAAAGCCTTGTTGTTTGTTTCGTGCCGTCGGTTTGGCAACGAAAGCTGACAACCTCGATTCAGAGATCGGACCCGCAGAGATTTGGGACATGTTTTCCAGAAATGTCAAGATAGCTGGCATAAGGCAAGATGGGAAAGCTGGAAACTACCAAGACGAAGTATCCTGGAAAATCCTGGAACCTCAACGAGCTGTTCCTGTTTCAGACAAAACTGAGCGTGCGGCATCTGCCATTCTTGTAGCAGAGAAACAACGAAAACCAATTGCTGAGATGCAATCAACTTCGTGTTTGCACTGCGAACTTGCAGGATAGTTGGTGGTACTGCTGGGTGCCAAGGATTGATGTTGTGATGGCCCACCTTTCAGTGGGGCACACACCGCTTTGGGCCTTGACAAGTACCATGTTTGCAGCCGCACATCTCATGCCACGAATTCCTCTCATTGAGGAGGTGGCTGTGCTACCAAAAGGCCAGCAACTCGCACCCCAACCGAGGTTACACTTCGACATGATGGCCGATATTTCTTAGTGGCCATACATCGGAGTTGTGCGCATGCGAGAAAAGGACTGCAGCTCAGCCATGGCATTCGAATACATTTGCCGCACTACAGCCCAAATATGTCCATACATGCCGAAGACTTTCCAGTGTTCCAGCTGGAACTCTCGCCAGCTAGGGACTCGCAATTGTTTTCTACTCCAAAGGTTCCTTTCCGAAACCAACTCACAATCGAGGAAATTCAGACATGCCATAATTGAGGATTTGCATGATAGCATCATGTAACTCGCCTACAAATATACTACCTGATACCCGCCACAGGGGCGGCGTGGTTGGTCAACTTCAATATGAGAACGGTGATGTGCGTATCTTTTTGCACAAGGTGGTTCAAACTTCGTCAAAACGCAAACCGTTGATCTAAGATGGTGGGCAATCCAGGTTCTGGATAGCATTCTGTCTTGACTCTGGCTGGGCCCAAGATGTAAACCAAGATCTATCTCACCAGGTGGCAAAGGCGAGTATCTGATAAGGGCCGAAATGATTTGGCCACTTGTCTTGATAGGGGACACGGGAACAAGGTGGAACAGAACCGCGACAGAAATGGCACACAAATCTGGCCACCTTTTGCGTAGGCCACGGGGTCTTGTGTAGTTCACTAACTCCCCAAAGTTGCACGGCGATCCTGCTTGAAAAACGGAGCCTTTCTTGCCGTTGACCACATTTAGTGATAAAAAAGAGAAGCGTGCCACTGAACCGCTAGCTCACTGAAAGAGGTGCGGATAACAAATTCATCCGCACAAAAAGAGAAACTCACTTCCTGAGTGGGTTGGCCAGCAAAGTCAACTCGTTTTGCTTAGCATTACAGTGGTCTTGCCAAAGGGTAGAAAGTCCAGAGACTCAGGGAGTCAGGAAACAGGGTTTCTTTGCTTGCTGAAATGCAGCATCGGATGCAGCAGTGAGCGAAAGGAGGAGTTTCAGGGTATGCCGATGGGGGACCCCGATAGATGATTGACTTATCTTTGAACACCCAACAATAGGACCCCTATCTGAGGAAACACCCGTATAAAGTATAGCGGATTCCCCGAACGCTGGCAAGCAAACCAAGCCAAAACTGAAAAGTTAAATGGAGATCCTAGTTGACAACTCCTAAGCCCCTACAGTAACTGTTCGCTTTTTGACCCGGTGTTGGAGCGGCAACTGGTGCGTCTGACCGCCTTAAACCCGGGGTCTGTCCTGGCGATAAACAAATTTCACTTTGACCGAAATGCGTGGAACGCTTGGTTGACGTTGGAATGGGGGCAGAAATTCAAATTTTAGCAGTTAAGTGGGGATTTACCACTAAACCACAATGAGGAAACATTCAAAATGTTTCCCAACAACAACCATGAACGGGGCCCACTCCATGGATGTGGCCCCAGTGGACATCAGCAGCTCCCTGCCACTCCAGCCTGGGACCCAGCAGAGGCCCTGCGGTCGTCTCAGCTGCGTCTCCAACGCTGGCCGCCTTCGCTGCATCGATTCTCCTGCAGAGAGCAAGGCAGCGAGTCTGAGCTGCTCTATATGGGGGTCCCGTTTCTTTTAAGGGTGCGGGGTTGGTTCAAAGGGAAGCCAAAAGGCAAATCGCATGTTTTGTATTTTCAGACACACCCATCACTATTGGAGACCGTTTGGTGGAAATCATTCACATCATCGGGGCTCCAAGCATCAGAATTCATGGCGCCATAATCCCAAAGCCCTTGCCCCAAGAAATGTTGCAGCTCTTGTGTAGAATCAGTGGGGGCACGCACGTGTGCGCGTTTCAAAGAATTCTGAGAAAAACGGCCTTCTGAATGGAAGTGGGAATGAGGTGCATTGGCTGTTGCTGGGGGACATGCACCCGGCTAGGATCCTACGATGCAACGCTTTCAGCAACCTTAACTTAGTGTAGCCCCAACCAGTCGCCACCGACTCTCTCCAAAGGGATGAGAACCAGTGGTCATCATGGCAAAGTTCAACAGGTAAGCTTACCATCAATGATCTCTCGACCACTCTCGTCTCACACTGTGGGAGCTCACAAGCTGAAGATGCTGGAGTGCATATCAACTGTAAATTGCTTCTCACCTCACAACTCATGCCGCATTGAGCAACTTTATCTAGCTTTGCAGTGGTGTAGTGTAAGGGGTTCTTCTATGACAACGCGAATGAACTCAAACTTTACATTCAAAGGCTCGCTCAACTGCGCCGAAGACACCCCCGCGCTCAGTCCTAAGCCTTGCCAGACGCTGTCACCTACGCAGGAAGCGTCGCCTCAAGGCCAAGAACTCCAACCGAGCAAGTGCAACTCTCGACTCCGGAGTCTCGGTTGCGAAATCTGCTCCCCTAAAAGTTTAACTTTCAGTGGTTCAATGGATAACCGATTCATTAGTTGGCAAAAAGTTAAAGTTCGAACATCCAAGCACAATGCTTGGAAAGGAATCCTGCTGGCACAAAAACGATGCTTTCAAGGTCTTGCGTGCGTGCGTGGCGTGGCGCGGCATGTGTGTGTGTGTGTGTGTCACATCTGTGAAAGCTGGACAAGTTCCACATGGTTAGCTTCCTTTCAGCTTCCACCTCGACACCCGCTTTCGGGTGCTTCCCTTGATCTTCCCCCAGCTGCCCTGTGACCCTGGCAGAAAAAGCAACCATATTTTAGGGTTGACCATTTTGGTGGTGAACCCACCCACGAAAAAGGGACCAAGGGTACCACTGAGTTCTTCTCCGTGCATTGGTCTGAGGCTTCGGCAGAAGCCGGTGCCCGCGCAGGTGCCCCAGTTCCACTCACGTCCAGGGCTGCTTGGCCGGAACTGAAGCACCTCAAACGTCCGGTCTGGGAGCATGAGGAGGTTGGGGTTGTTTTGATTCCGAAGCATCAAGACTCAAAGGGCACTTTACAAGGGAGCAGAGAAAGGGAAGTAGTGGGTTCTAACCAACTTTTGGCAAAGAAATGCCAAGCCGCACGGAATCATTTTTCGCCCCCAGTACGTACTGCTGAAATATACAACTACGCCCAGTGCGTATGCGTATATAGGCACTATACCCGGGGCATCTACCCCAAAAGTATATGGTGAAGCATGGTGAAGCACTCTTGGTGGGAGCACAACATGACACCCAAGAAAACCATCCATGTCTACAAGAATCTCCTGGACCTATCCTTTGGACAAGGTCATTGTTTGACGAGAAGCATTGAAGAGTACGGGTAGATGCCTATGCCTTGTTAATGGTGCCCTTAGTTGAGTTACCACTGTTCATCCACAATCCCCACAGTGGCTAACGACCAGTCACTAACCAAGTAAAGGCAAATTCGATCATGACATGTTCGTCTAAGTGTCAAATTGGCGTGAGATCCAACTCGTCTTGCCACGTCAACATTTGACCTGGCGCGCTGACCGTCCGCGAACAAATACAACCACCGCTTGAAACGGTGGGCTCCTAATGACTGCCCCAGGAGGCTCGGCCATCGACGAAACTATGGTGTCCTTTTAGGGGAAATAGATGGGTTGCCCTGGTAGATGATTCAAGCACCAGGCAAACCAGGAATGGAAACCCATCTATTTTCCTAGCAACACAACCAAGAAGGACACCTATGGACTGGAGCCGACTGGACGCGCCTTCCTCAAGGCACCGATCTGGTGACTTCCATGTGGGAAATCGCGACCCGCGGAAGAAACAAAAACGCGAGGTTTGGACACAAGTGCCGCTGAACCCGGCTATGGCCAAGCGGGCTAAGCCAATATGGGAAAGTACTGCGAATTCAAACTGGAATCCGCTGAGACATGGACCCTTCACATGGGCTTTCGCTTGTCTTACCCTCATGCGAGCTCGCTTGAATTTGGGAAGAACCAGTGGTCAGGGTACCAAAAAGGGGCCCTAAAGGCCTTGATGCGAACTTCACCATGACCTTTGGCGGAAGACTAGGGTCAGGCCATATCGCTGGATCCCGTTGCTTCAAACTTTTGTGGTCAACACCGGTAAGTTCAGCGAGAGTTTGCCTTTTGATCACCTCCCTTGCGGTGGGAAATGAAGGAATCTCTTGCTTTCCCCCATCCTCCCCCCCTCCCCCTCCTCCTCCTCCTCCTCCTCCTCCTCCTCCTCCTCCTCCTCCTCCTTTTTCTCACTACAGACATGTATGTTTTACATCTATGTGCAAATGCATATATGTATGCAATATCATGCATGTATATTGTATGTATATGTATGTGTATGTATATGTATATGTATGTGTATAATGTATGAATGTATGTATGTGTGTGTGTGTATGTATGTATGTATGTATGTATGTATGTATGTATGTATGTATGTATGTATGTATGTATGTATGTATGTATGTATGTATGTATGTATGTATGTATGTATGTATGTATCACAGACCCGTCGCGCGCCTGACAGTTCCGGCCCTCCGCCACGAAGCAGCCGCCACCCCCCAGAGCAAGACCATCCGGCGCATCGATGGCCCCCGACCTCAATCTCCAGTCGATTCGTTCCACTAAGGTTTGATTCCGCACGCTAACAGAGCCCGAGGTGCCGGTTACAAAGTGCTTTGAGGATGCACAGAAAAGTTTGATTCCCCACTCTCTTCGCCCATAGTTCTCTTCAGAAGCCGCATTCATTTTTTGCGCCATTTTGTGAAGAGAAGGATCCCTGAAGAGAATGGGGAGGGTACAGCTGGACATTTGGCGTGTCTTTTGCCGGTTGGACCCCCCGAAAAGGTGGTTTCCTCTTGGTGTCCCAAGGAACAAAAACAAACAAGGGTTCCCCCCAAAAAACGGATAGACCCATGTTAGAATGATTGAAATCAACGAAACCAAACACGGGGTCAACAAGAAGAAGCGCCTTCACAAAGGATTGGAGTACTGGGCCAAAAAAAACCAACGCCGGCCGTGTATCTACATTTCAAGAGCTCAGCTAAAGTAGCTTGTGGGGCACCTGAGTCATGACTAAGTTTGGGGGGATGGGGGATGGGTTGGATTTGTATAGTGAGTCTGGAGGCCTCACCTGAAAGTTATATGGTGCCCACAGAAGTTATATATGGTGTCCAAGTAGGATTGGAGGGTAACCAGATTTCCAAGCTCAAATGGAATGTGGTGAAATCACGTGGAGTTAAGCAATAGGCACGTATGCCATGGAGGAAGTCAGAACGAGACGGAAGGTAAGTCATCCGTTGCCGTACGCTTGCACACTGCGACATGGAACATGATCTGGGAGAAACTTATCTCACTTGCCCAAAGGACCCCAAAAACACATTTGGGGCCATGACTAAACGTGAACCAAAAAGGGGAAACTAAAAGGTCAAAAGGTCGATTCGCTGTAGGCAAGTGAGTGGTTCAATCATTGCGAGGTCTGAATTCAGAACCCCTTTCAGGATCCTTCAGATTTTTTTTCCTCAAGCTGGCCAATGAACCAAACTGGGTTGTTGGAACCAGGATCCCAAATCCAAATCCGTGGGACACCACTCCAACAGGGGAAACCAAACCAACACCCATCGATGGATTTGTCTTTTGAGGGACCCTTACCAGGGCGGTGCTCCGCTTGGTTGCCCAACTCACCCCAAACATCATACACCAAAAAAACCTCTGGAAAATGTAAGCCACGGATTAATAAGCCCCTGGCTCATTATCCCTGGCTCATTATCAGTGTCCCTTCTGCTGCACATGGGCATCCTCAACAATAGTGGATGTCCCCCGCCCACCAGTAGGATGGGTTTATTCATCCGGGCTGTCCGTTTTCAGATCCCCTGCCGCAAGTTCAACCTGTGGGTCAAGTGGAAAACTCCACCCCCCGAAAAGCTCAAACACCTGACCGTGGGTCAAAATATGTACCCAACATGGAACCCTAAGTGGAAGCACGGACCAAAACCTGCGGTTGGTGGCTTAACTTTGACACATACCTAAAGAAACTCACCAAGCCCCAAAAAGCTCAAACACCCCAGGAACCGAATGGCTGGGAGCCAAGTCATCTCTTGCCAAGGCGCAGCGTCACCAGCGTGCCGCTGGCGCGCTGCAAGAGCCGCAGTGCCCGGTTCCCCGCGTCGATGAAGAGGATGTCCTGCGACGGCAGGACCTGGGCACCAAGGCTCCATCAAGCTCCGGGGGTGGACGACCATTTCTTGCCGGGAACTAAGAGAACCATCACAAGTAGTTCTATTCGGTTTATATTTTTTTGTCAATTTTTCCGCGGGGAACTAAGATGGGCGAAATCCAGTTCGCACCACCTAAACTCGGGAATGATATGATCCCCATGTAAATACCAACGAACAATGATTTCAACCATGGTTTCAAAGTGGTGCAGGATTTCGCCCATCCACAGTGGGGGGTGGTCAACCATTTCTGTCGTGGGGGAACTAAGACAACCATCACAAGTAGTTTTATTAGGGGTGGTGATTTTTTTCTCGTGGGGAACTAAAACAACATAAAACAACTATTCTAAGGGGTTCTACTCGAAGCATGACCATGGCGCAAATAAGGAGTTTGGACGAATCCGCGCAAGCCTAACCAGGAGAAACTCACCATTGTATCATGAGAGCTCCTGAAGCGCACACTGATGCTTGGTTCTACCATTGGCTCTGAACATTTGGTTGAAAAGCTTAATTAACATGGCCCTTTAATAGAAAACTAGCTGCACGTGGGAATTGAACTTCTTGGACGACACAGGATACGGAGAATCTGTGAATCCCAAAGATGAACATGGCAGGTAGGGTCAACCACCTCTGGAGACGCGAGTCTGCTTTCTTGAAACTCGTTTTGCCAACCACCACGCAAAGCATGAAAGCATTTGCCTCCTCGGTTTTGGTCGGTATTTGACATGTTTTCAAGGGAACCCCCTCCATCAGGAAGAATGGAAGCAACCTGTCTGGATTCCTTACATGCCCCGCAGCATCACCCCCAAGGAAACTCATGTGTATCACCCAAGGGAACCTCATGCCTCCAGTTGCCTACTGTAATACTTTCCGCTGCTAGGCAATGTTACTTCACAGATTCACATGGAACCCAAAAAGGTCTCCCTTCTATCAGGAGATTCCGATCCTAAAAATCCAACTCTGGAGTGTGTCACCCAAGACTTTTGCCTAGATGCAGCCACCTTGGTGGGGTTGTGCAGGTTCCCCTGCAGCGCCGGCGCATCACTCAGCAGCGGTCCCGGGTGCCCCGTGCCCGCCAGGATCTGCTCACCTGGGCCAAGGCCCACCCCTGCCCAACTTGCTTGGTGTACCTCCATTTGCTTACGTCTCCTGGAAAAAATACAAAATATATGTCCAGTTGTGATCCTGGGGGAAAAATCCAGAAGTGATAAATTCCCTTGAACATCAACAGGGGAAAATAAGAAGTATTCTTAACCAAATGGAAGTGTAACTTCCCTGCCCAGTTTGGACCCAGAAACAAAAGGTGAACACTTTTTGGGGCCATGACTCAACATGGGAAGCCCAAAAAAGGGGAACGAAAAGGTCCAAAGGTCGATTCTCTTTGGGCAAGTGAGGTAAAAAGGGGGCAATCCAAACGGAGCCTACCCATTTGAGAGGGCGAGTTTTTAAAACAAACCAACCGATTGCCATATCGGGTATCAGGGTGGATGTTGAGCGCTGGTCGCTGCCCTGAAGGTCCAAACTCTGAAAGGGTTTCGGCTCAAAATGACAAACCCGGATTCATAAACCTGCCTTCGGGGGGCTGTTCCCCCTCCTAACAAGTGAAGTGGAGGAGTCCCCCTGAAAATTCTGGACATAGGCAGGTAACCTTCCACATTTTTTGGCTGAACAGTTTTCTCGACATTTCCCTTTTGTCAACCAGGGGTTTGTCACTGCTGGGTTCCCCTTCTCGCCACTTCAGTCGAGGCTCGGCCCTCATTGTCCACCAACCTAAGCCGCGGGAAAATGAGTTGCCTCCCAGTGAGGGAACCTCCCACAAACAAAACGCAAACAAGTTTCCTCATTGTGGGAAAAGAGTTGCCTCCAAAAAGGGTCGCCTCCAAATGAGGTTGGTTTCCTTTTGGTTCCTATTTGGCCGAGTCACCTTTGCACCTTTTCAACCTGGTGTTGGCCTACTTATCCATGTCATCCCACGGTTGGTACTTCCTGGTACTTAGCGGGTCCAGAAACTGCCCAAGGCAGATCGAAGTTCATGCCCAAAGTAGCAGGGAAAACTGGCGGTCCGCTAGTTGCCCAGTAGCTTGCCATGAGGGACGAAGGCTCTGGCCTTTGTGTTCGTCCAGCTTTAGCAGGGAACCAACTGCAGGGGAAATGGTCTCAACATCTGTGATGCCAACAGTGAACAAAGGCCAGTTGGCCCCGCGGACCGACGGAAAACAGGACAACTCGCCCATCCCCTGCTTCCCTTCCTTTTGGGGACAATCGCAACAAAGCATGGGCAATTTGGCACCCATAAAAAGTGACCTGTCACTCACTCCCAAGCGATACTGTGGATGGACGAAATCTGTTCGCACCAGCTTGAAACCATGGTTGAAACCATCATAGGACCCCTGAACGGTGGTGCGAGTTCTGGATTTCGCAACAGTCCACGGTAGGCTGTTCGCTCACCCAAGAGTGGGCATGGGTGTTTCTGCAAATGTTACTATAGTTCCAACAGCTAGATTACGGGATAGCCAAACAAAGGACCTTTCTCATGGCTTGCGCTCGTTACACCCCCGGATGGGTGAGCTCGCTATAAGATGTGCGGAATTTCATCTGCGTCTCTCGCGTCTCCCGCGTCCCGTTCTCGAGCCGAAAGGCGCCAGCATGTGGCGGCTGTGAAGCGCCACGACGAGGCCCTCTCTGGCGACCGCCACGCCCCCGAGACCGTACTCGCTTTGGAAGACCTGGACGGCGTGAGGGGCCAAGTCCTCTAGGATGGTCTCATTTTGGTTTCCGTATAAAAATCATGACGGGGTCTGCTGAGAAAGGTTGGCCACCTGCAGCCTTTGTTGTGCCAAGACCCTTCACATGGGCGGTTGGTCTCCGTTTGGTTTCCCTATAAAAAGCATGAAGGGGTCCCCCGAAACCCCACATTGGCTCTCAATGTTCTTGGGATGTCCCACTTCTTAAAACAGACTATAAGACAAATTAGACCATAGACTACATCAAGATTCCTCTAAAAATCATGGAACTCAAGCCCGTTTGACAACCTTTAAGTGACCTGATGCCATGGCATCTGCTGGTATCAATAAGTGTTCCCCGCCTTAGCGACTTACAGCCCGCCATTGCGGTCCCGAACTGGACACCGTTGCGGTCTACACATGTTGGAAGTCAAAGACATGTCATGCTAAGAAGCTAGTGGCGTGTGTCATGGGAGATGGGAGCTGCGTGGGTTATTGATTCATTCTTTCTGCAGGTAGGCAAATCACAAGTACCCGACATTAGATTTCATCTACAGGTATCGGTTAATTTCCCTATCGCTTTGCAGTGTTTCAGGCCCGCAACACAAGCTGAGAGCCGGGCCCTTACACAACACAAAGGCGCGGGATTTGTAATTTCACGCCATATGACGTTGCCCACACAAATGGCGGACCCCATGACTTCGGCCCAGTTTCCATTTGGCTCAGAAAGGGGTGCCACCCCCCCAAAACACAAATGGAGGAAACTGTTTCTATGGGGTACACGGAGCAGCCATTGCTCATTGCTCAGCATCCCGGCGGTGCGCAGCATCGGCGGCTCACTGGTGATGTCCAACGCCCTGAGCCATGGATTGCTCAGGACCAACTTCCCTGACATTGTTCTAGAACTATCAAACAAATATATACATATATGATATATTCTCACAAGTTAACATGAAAACTGGCAGGTGTCCTGGAATTTCAAAGAAACCCCTGTCAGGATCCATGGCAATTGGTGGCTCTGGGACTTTGGCTCTTTCTACCTCGCAACTCGGTCGATGGGGTCGCCAAGATGGGAGGATGCACCCAGATGTTGCCACCTGGGTCAAGCAACTCAATTTTCATGGCTAACTACGAACTTGTTGGGAGTCATGGAGCTGCAGGCACTCTTGAAGAGGTTTTGACAGGATTTCGAGAGGGTCCCGCCCGTGGGGGAAACCATTGTGGGTGGCAATGTCACGTGCATGCCTCTGCGTTGTCAAACAAACTTAGCTATATCGTAAACACTCGCTGTGCTTCAAAGCAAGATCAATCTCCAACAGCTTCAGTCTCAAGCCAACACATGGTCTTGCCTCGTGTTCAACGTAAACACCCAACTTTGGTCACTGACTGTCTACACTAGAAACGGCGGATTCAACGGCCGCAGTTCGAGTTCCAGAACAATGCACCGGCAATGCGTATCGCCCTGGCAACCGCTCGGACTCGGAAAAATGCAACATGTTGCCCATTGGTGCTTTCCTTTTCTATACAGGGGACTTCTGCACTGCTGAGGGGGGTCTCCTACTCTGTGCAAAAAAATGATTCGAAAGGGAAGCCTCATGTCTCAGCTCTCTCTACCCTTCAGGCCCAAGTCTTACACCCAGGCCTCACAGCATAGAGCTCACAAATGTAGAGCACTCCAGGCGCCAAGGCCAGGTCGTGCGGGTATTCCTGAGCAAAGCGCTTGCCCAACCAAGGCACATTTTGCCATGGGCAGCGAACAGGGTTTGGAGCCCCAACATGTTGCCATGACCAAGAGTAGTTGGATGCACGGTCAGCAGGAGGGGTGTCTAACTTGAGGAACACGCAGCTTTCCCTACATGTTGAAGGCGTATGCAAGGACAGCCTGCTGCTCTGCTGGTGCATCAACTAAATGCGCATGCGTGTATATAAATAATATATATATATATATGATATATATATATATGTATTTATATATATATATATATATATGCAGATATAAAATTCATTTTTTCCTGTACGAACAGGTTGCTGAATGGAGGCAATCCCTGCACACGCAGCGGTCTCATCTCTATCATGAACAGGCTCGCTTGCTCGAAAACCCGCATTTTGCATGTCAAACACCTCGCCTACAATTCATGACTAAAGACGGATCAACGTACGGTTTCTAATTGGTTGCAGGCCACTTTACTTACCCCATGGAAAACACCATGGCGAACACAAATAGGCAGGGTCAAATAGGTGAAGCGCTGCAACGCATTAAACAAACAGTCTGCTTCTCTCGATTCACTCACTGCCTACCCAATTATACGTTGTGGTGGGGGCAAAGCTTGACCACTCACATGCTTGTCAAAAGCATTCTTGCCTTATAACCTTGCATAGAATGACAGTGAAGCACGCCCGTGTGCACCACAACTGACGATGGACATGGAGATCTCCCAAACATCGACATCGTTTCCTGGCAAGTCAACCGCTAAGTAGACTTGTCAGAAAAAGATCAAACTTTTGGCGGCTTGACGTAAAACGATGCTCACATCTTCCAACGACACTCCGCGCCGACTCAAAGAAAGAAAGTAACATGTACCAAAATGGCAGAAATCTAAGCTTCTTGTGGGAGTGGACGCAATCCCCACCACACTCCGCAAGCGACAAACAAATGTGTCCGTTCATGAGAGAGGTTTGCAGGGTGAGGCGTGCAGTGAGAGGAGCGTAACGTCAGGGAAGGGTGGATGGGGAAAGAAATATACTCGCCATAGTAGCCATCGGGAGAACAATCGAACATCAGTCTCGACACGAATGCGCGCTGCGCTGTCCGGTTGGATTGTTTTCCGCACACTAGAGAAGGTCGATGTTCGCTCTACGTTGCTACTCATAAAAGTTCCTTCACCTCACACAAAAAAACTTACATTTAACCACAACGACGACGACGACAACAACCCCACAACAACCCCACAACAACCACAACCACAACCACAACCACAACAACCACAACCACAACCACCACCACAACCACAACCACAACCACAACCACAACCACAACAACAACCACAACCACAACAACAACAACAACAACAACAACAACAACACAACCACAACCAAACAACAACAACAACAACAACAACAACAACAACAACAACAACAACAACAACAACAACAACAACAACAACAACAACAACAACAACAACAACAACAACAACAACAACAACAACAACAACAACAACAACAACAACAACAACAACAACAACAACAACAACAACAACAACAACAACAACAACAACAACAACAACAACAACAACAACAACAACAACAACAACAACAACAACAACAACAACAACAACAACAACAACACACACAGCAGCGACAACGACAACGACAACGACAACGACAACGACAACGACAACGACAACGACAACGACAACGACAACGACAACGACAACAACGACAAGAACGACAAGAACGACAAGAACAACAATAACAACAAGAACAACAAGGACAACAAGAACAACAAGAACAACAAGAACAACAAGAACAACAATAACAACAAGAACAGCAAGAACAACAAGAACAGCAAGACCAGCAAGAACAGCAGGAACAGCAAGACCAGCAAGAGCAGCAAGAGCAGCAAGAGCAGCAAGAACAGCAAGAGCAGCAAGAGCAGCAAGAGCAGCAAGAGCAGCAAGAGCAGCAAGAGCAGCAAGAACAACAAGAACAACAAGAACAACAAGAACAACAAGAACAGCAGGACCAGCAAGACCAGCAAGACCAGCAAGAGCAGCAAGAGCAGCAAGAGCAGCAAGAGCAGCAAGAGCAGCAAGAGCAGCAAGAGCAGCAAGAGCAGCAAGAGCAGCAAGAGCAGCAAGAGCAGCAAGAGCAGCAAGAGCAGCAAGAGCAGCAAGAGCAGCAGAGCAGCAAGCAGCAGAGCAGCAAGAGCAAGCACAGAGCACAGCAAGAACAGCAGCAAGAACAGCAGCAAGAACAGCAAGAACAGCAAGAGCAGCAAGAGCAGCAAGAGCAGCAAGAGCAGCAGCAGAGCAGCAGCAAGAGCAGCAAGAGCAGCAAGAGCAGCAAGAGCAGCAAGAGCAGCAAGAGCAGCAAGAGCAGCAAGAGCAGCAAGAGCAGCAAGAGCAGCAAGAGCAGCAGCAGCACAGCAGCAACAACAGCAGCAGCAGCAACAACAACAACAGCAACAGCAACAGCAACAGCAACAGCCACAGCCACAGCCACAGCCACAGCCACAGCAGCAGCAGCAGCAACAACAACAACAGCAGCAGCAACAGCAACAGCAACAGCAACAGCAACAGCAACAACAGCAACAGCAGCCGCCACAGCCACAGCCACAGCCACAGCAACAGCAGCAGCAGCAGCAGCAGCAACAGCAACAACAACAACAGCAGCAGCAGCAGCAGCAACAACATAAATAATAGCAGCAGCAGCAGCAGCAACAGCAGCGGCGGCGGCGGCAGCAGCAAACTTAACCACACAAATGTTCAGCAGTCAGATAAGTCTTAACCGCAACAAATAGGGTCTGCCAGCTCCACAGGTGAGCTCCCGACCAGCTCCAGGTCAACAGGTGACCCCTGATTAACGTAAACCCACCTCCCGACTTTCTCGCTCTCCTCTGAATGTGTAAAAGGGGAACTCCCTGGACGAAATCCATGTCGCACCGTCTAAGAAAGCCTGGAATGATGTGATTCCCCTGTAAATACCAACAACATATAGTTTCTAGCATGGTTTCTCAGGCGGGGGATTTCGTTCACCCACTCTAAGAAACCACCAGGAAGTTGTTTCGGAAAGATGCTTAGCCAATGTCCTCTAACAAACTCCTGTGGGTTTCTGTGAATGGTTCGATTGAAGCACAATGCCACCACGGTTTTGGACTTTGGGCACACCCTCCCAAATAGTTAGACATGAATCCCCACCTAAATGATGTCCACCAGTCAGGGTCCCTAAATAACATTCATGCCCATATGCTTCGGTTCTCCTACTCTTCTACTTGCTTGAGTCCCCTGGGACAACACATATTTCTGGTGGCGCGATCGATTCCCTTCAAAATTTAACAGGGGACAATCAAAAAGAGCATCTTCATTTCAGGAAAAAGGAAGGAAGTGAGCCCAACTCCAAATGTGAGGATTGGGCCCAACTCGAGAAGCTGCTCCCTTGACCGCCTCGCGTTCTTTCGCCGGGGCTCCAGCGCCACGTCCGTCCCCGGCGCCCCCTGAGGCTCGTCAGGCCCGGGGCCCCGCTGCCCCGTGCCGGCCACGATGTGTGGCGCTTGGTTCGGGAGACAGCGCCAGACCTGAGCGCTCGCTTGAGTTGATCATTGTTTATCCTTGTGCTATGCCCATAGAAGGGGCGCACCTGCTTTTTCCTCCTGCTGGCCGATTTTGGGTCAGCTTCCAAAAGCTCGGGCCCGGGCTCTGAGAATTTGGCTTTGCTTTGGCTTCCCACTGCTCTGGAGGGCCTCCTATCCTATCCTATCCTAGGAATCCGGAAGGCCTCAAGAGGCTACAGGTTCCGGGCCCGCAATTGGCGGCTGGTGCTCAGTCGGGAATGTGGTTGAACCATCCCCCCGGGCCCCCAGAAAGGAAACCCGTTGGATTTCTCACTCCCTGAGACCCAGCAACTTTGGCTGCCCGGCTGTCCCGAAAACCCTGAGGCGGAGCCTCGAAAAAAGGACAGACAGCCACCAAATGCCATGGTTTTCAGGGGTGTAACTGGCACTCCGCAGGTGAAGAGCCAAGGGCAGAAACCTTCGAATGGGAAATGGAAGGGAGTCATTCATGGTTTGGTCGTCAATTTCAAGGCTCGGAGCAATCCTGCGATTGTTTACCCTCCCCTAGGCTAACATGCCCCTTTGAAAGACTTGGTTCCATGTACAGAGGGCTTTCAGGTTAGTCTGAGGGAGTGCAAGCAAAGTGAGGTTGAAGGAGTTGCAATTGCATCAAGTGGTATCAAAGGATATATTCGCCACACAACAAAGGTGTACAAAGGCCACGCGCATATTTCTCGTGCGCACCTAGCTAAACGTTCACCAACCACAGAGCTGCTGATCGAGGCGATTGCAGATTGAGGCTGAGGTGTGGATTGAATCAACCGGTCTGGTGGTTTGCGCGCGTGAGAAAACAGCACCAATCTCGTGGGACTCCCCATTCCCAAAAAGTCAGTTGCCACCTCAATTCGCGGGGTTGCCGCCTCGCCGCCTGAATTGCTGGGGCTGCCGGTGTATTCTTCACTTGCCCCTAGCGTTGCTTGCATGATGGTGTTGCCTGCTCTTCGTCTCTGACAGAAAAGGGCACCGCAAACAACAAGGCCGCTAGGGGTCAACGAGCGCAAGACCGGCAGCATGTTGCGAGGTCCTAGCACAAAGCGAAACCAGCTCTTGCGTACCTACCCTTCAAACTCATGTCAGGAAGCTTGACTCAAGAAGAATCTTGATATTGAACGGGTCAGTCTGAAGCCTGAATATGGTTCTGGAGGCTTCAACCGGGAAGCATACTCCTGTTGCCTTCAAAATTGGGGTCCAGATCGACTCGCTTCATGAAACATATTGATCTGGCGGCCTATCCAACTCATGACTCACCTCCCTGAAGTTTGTCTGTCAAGCAATTGCCCCCGTGGTGGGATGCCGGGGGACTTCAATGCCGAATCCCCTATAGAATAGGGTACACAGGCCAAAATCTGGATTCCTTACATGTCCCCCTACATCTCAAACTAAACTCATTCTAATCACCCAACAAATAAAGCCCACAACCCCGTTTGGTGCCCTCCTGTCCTCTAACGTGAAACCTGACTGGAGGACTACTTTCCATTTAAAGGGACACCTGTGCAGGTTCTTGAGAAACCCATACCTGCGTGCGTCTTTTTAGGGGACCCACCCAAAGCAAGAAAAGGTGGGCTTTCACTTGTTCCTGTTTGGTTTCCCTGAAAAACCACCTCGAAAAATGGTACCTGGAGTCTCCATGACCGCTACAAAATGGGGTCATTCCCAACAAATAATGGGGTCATGGAGACCCAAGGGTACCCTCAAAAACAAACAACTTCCTTTTGCATAAGACCCCTGGAAAAATCCAGTAGTGATGAATTCCTTTTAACACCAACAAGGGGAACATAAACATATTCTTAAGCAACTGGAGGAAAAGGGTACCCTCCAAGAACCAACGACCCACCCGCTTTCAGCTCGATGCGTTGTGCTCCGCCATGTCCGCCACGAAGAGCGCATCGCCATCCGAGCACACCGCCCGCGGCGCGGAGATTGGCACTTCGGGCGCCTCGATCGCGGGCGAACGGGAAAAAAAAAGCCTGAACAATCGTGACTGACATTATGCATCTATTTATCTATTTATGCATTGAGCCATCTATCCATTTATCCATCTATAAATGTATCTATTTATCCATCCATCCATCCATCTATCTATCTATCTATCTATATACATACTTGAGAACCCCTCAAATGTTCACTTTAATCGGCCTTGTGTTTGAACGGTGGGTTTGTCTCAAATATGGGAACCGCCCATAGTGAGGCCAATTGTGTCTTTTGGTTTGCCTGGGAAATAACTTCAGTGGGTATCATCAAAAGCGACGCATCCAGGGAAACCACAGAGAAATCTGCACCAAGAACAGCTGTTGAGGTGGCCGTGGGAAAAAAAAAAACAGACTTTTTTGGGTTGGTCATTCTCAATAGGAAGCCAACTGGAACGAAAAGGGAAGGGCGTAGTTGACTGCGACACACCTAAGAGGCACAAGACATTTGGCCAAATGCTACGTCGACTAGTGATTTATTGTGGCCAAATCCCAGTGGTAAACACCCTTCCCGCTTTCAAGTAACCTTCCCGAAGTTTTCTGGAGAGTTGAAAAGGAACCAACAACTCTATCAGATCTATAATATGTCTATATATATATATGGAACATGTCTGCGAGTTCAACTCAACGCAGCTGAGACTGTCGGTTGGGTTGGGTTGACGTACCTTTGTTGGCAACCAGTTCAGACAGGTTGGTCACTCGATAATTTTCTCAATATAAGGCAAAGGCTGAATGCAGCAACCCACAACACTGGCAAGAACATGCTGGGAAGTGCATCCGGCCCAAAGTGTCAACCAACTCATTGCACAAAGACATGTACGTCAAACCGGGGCATTGTGGGTCCCACCAGTAGAAAAAAACTCGATAAGGGAAAGCCCTTGAATGGCTATGATGGTGCAATGTGTGTTCCTTGTAAACCTGGAAATTGTTAAGGGTATGTAGGTGTGTCTTTTGTGGGGAAACTTAAAACCAGCAGTGTCAAAATAGGGGAACCCCCCAATGTTGGTCGTCGGCTGTGCCTTTTGGTTTCCCGTAAATCCCCCCGCCCCAACAAAAAAAGAAAAAGAACACAAAACAGAGGCAGTTAGCCTCCAACCACGACACACACGCACACATGTTCAGCAATCCATCTTTTTCAGCAAACTACAAACTGGGATAGCAGCTATTGAAAGGAGCAACGGTTGAAAAGAATGGGGGTGAGTCCTGCTCCTCTGTCGCAGGGGTCACTGAATTTCCGCTTCAAAGGTTTCAATTTGCTGGTGGTTTCCATTGAAACGATCGCCACTTTTGGAGGTTCCCAAAAAGGACATGGCTCGGAAACCCTGTCTGTTGTGGCCGAACCCCCTTTTGGTTGGTTTTGAGGGGAACCAGAAGGAAAACCCACCATTTGGGGAGGCCCAACCTTAAGAAGGTATGGGTCACAAATAGGTACCCAAAATGGGTTGCCCTGGAAACATGGGTTGCGTAATTTTGACCCACGCCCAAAAAGAACTCTTCCCATTTGGGGAATATCATCTTAGTGGTCTTGCTTGATGTTCATCGGACCTTTTGATCAACCCCCAACTCGGCCACAATCAAACCGATTCAGGTAGACGAAGGTTAGCAAAAACAGGTGCGGGACTCCGCCTTTTACAATTCTCGACATGGTTCTGGGCTTGGACCATTTTAAATCCCTAGGTCCTCCAGTAGAGAGGCTAGAATAAGGGTACCCTGTTTTCGGTAGTCTATTTTAGTAGGGGAAGCCCCCCCCCCCCGCAAAACGGGGTAAGAGGGCACTACTGGGGGACCTAGATTTTAAATCCGATCGGCCCCCGACCGGCCAACCCGGCCAAAACTCCTCCGGATCGATCCAAGCGGCGCGCCCGAAGACCGGCCGCATCTGCGCGCAGAAGCGCTCGCTGAGGCCCTCGGGGCCGAGGTCCGGCAAGAAGGCCATGGCGCTCTGGTCACGCCCTTTGGCATTACGCGAGTGTTGGTGCGTGTGCCTGCGAATAGATGCATTTTGCGTGTTGCAGTTGTTTGGTGTATGGTTTCCCCGTTTTGCAAGGTCTATCAAATGAAACAACACTAGGTTTTCGGAGGGGGGACCATACATATATATCTATATGATTGATATATCTACATTTCTATTCATAGCAGGAATGTAGTGCTTGTCAATCAGAGCTGGGCCCTGGAAGGCTGGACGTCAGCCAGTACACCTGCCTCCATGAGCCCATGGAGCAATTCGCCCGACTTGCCGGCAACAACGCCCCATGTTAGATAGCCAAGTTCTGGGTTTTAGGGTAAAGTGCATGGAACAAAAGCAGCAACTGGCGATCCAGACTGCTTTTGGCTTTGCTTCCCATGTGTCTATTGGAGCAGCGATTGATTTATGTATCCATTTCTTCTACTGTTGACGACGTGTGTCTGTGGTTGCGAGCCCTATGGAAACACCACTTGGCTGATCTCAACCCTTCCACAGAGTGCTGCTGTGAAATCATCACATGTGTCAAAATCGGACGGGTCCCACTAAATGGTCTTGTGTAGCTCAAGAAATGGAATCCGCAAAATGGCACCTTGGTAGAAAACAGTCCCAGTCATGGCTTGGGACCGTCTCAACGAATCGCTCCGATCAAACGGAAAGCCGATCAAACAAACTGGGGGGCCTCACGGAAAAGGGGGGGTTTGCAGTTGCTGAAGCAAGGGTACGCTTGCCTGAACTTTTTAATACATTTCATGCCTGACTCAAACGACCCGCTCTGAGGTGACTATTGACATCTTTTCCATGTGTTGGAATTCAGGGCTTACCTGAATAAAACGAATTCCGGGTCACGCTGCTCTTTTTCCAAGTTTGTTTGTTTATGCTCGCTTTTGGTTTCTCCACTTCTCAAAAAACTGTCAATCAATAAACTCGCTGTATCGCTGTCCTGCTTGCCAGGCACCTCTTTCCGAGACTATACCCAGCGCGTCATGCTCGACATTCGCGTGCCTTCTGCAAGCGCTCCCGCTCCTCTCGGATCCGGTCACCCTCCTGACAAAGGTGGAAGTATCAGAGGGAACTCCTTTCGGCGGAAACCCAAGGTTTGGGGTTCACGTCTAGGTCCTCCAGTAGAGAGGATAGAATTAGGGTACCCGTTTTCTTTTCTTTTTCTGTAGTCTATTTTAGTAGGGGACCCTCCCTGAAAAAATTGGCAAAAGGGCACTCCTGGGGGACCTAGTTGGGGTTCACTTGGTTGCAGCACTGCGATCGGCGCTTCAAATTAAACCAATCGGACGTTGCTTCTGCCACGACAGCATGAGAGAACAAGCGCCCATACACGCAACCTGGCACGAACCCAAGCTAGAAGAACGCGGGAGGGATCTCCGAACGAGTTCCAGGCGATTGCGTTCTGATTCTCGGACAGAAGGACGACATAGGGCAGAACTATGTCTGAACCAATCGTGTCGCAGAAAAAAGTTATCCTTCCATGAGACATATTCTTTGTGGCTGCTGAAAGCCCCAGCCTGAGCATAAAGAAAAACACTTGCGCCACCTTCAGAGGAGTTCCTTTCAGAAATGATATTTGGTGCGCCTGTTCGTTGTTCAACCATCAGCCAGAAAAGGGTCTCCAAAGACTGCCTGTCGCGGTGTTCGATAGCAACATGATCACTTCAAAGAGGTTTCCCCTGATTCGCAAGAAATCGTCTTCGGCCTCTGCAGGTTTTTGTTCACTGCTTGATGGGCACGGCGAAATACACATCCAAATTATCACCATGTCATTTCGATCACGCCCAAACGTTAAGGTGCCATGAATCTTGAGAAGCCGCTCTAAAAAGGTGCTGGGCCCAAAGGCGCGCTTGGTGTCTACAGAGTCTCGCAGTTAGCTCTCGTGCGCCATTTTTGGTTGCCACTTGAGAATGCCATCCAGGAGTCCCGAAATCTAGACACAACAAATATCGGGCTAGACGCTTGTTTGCCCCAAGAAGGTTAGTTGCAACCCAGAGTAAGCAGCAAGCAGCTCACCTGTTCAGCGATGCCTCAAAAAGACGTCGACAACTTGGACGGCCCGGAGCTGCATTAGTACGCAACCCGAGTTGTAAGGCTTGCTGGCTTTACCTGGAAACATGTCCTTCTTGGGCAAGCGCAAAGCATGTCGCACGCATCTCCTTTGGAACCTCGAAACTCACCCCCCCCCCAAACTTCCAAAACCACGCAACTCAAAACTCAAAACTCAGAGCCCAAACCCCACGAAAATAATCACCACCCCCTACCCCACCAACCTAAAAAAAGCCTTCCGGGGTCAAGTGCCATGCAGTTCTAAAAGCGTCAGCGTCGTATCGCAGGCATCATCTACTGGCTGCGAGTCGGCCAACGCATGAGACAATTGCATCCGCTTGCCGTGTGGCTTGTGCTCTAAGAGAGACCTTTGCAATAGCACCATGGCGTTCTCAATAACCTTGTGGCAAGGTCAGAAGGAAAGCCGTTTGCAATTGAGTTTGCCAAATCGCCTGGAGGTCGCCAGAGCATCCCGCAGTTAGAAGGTGAAGCATGTGATGGCAATTCCATGGACAAGTGGCAAGTAAAATTACACCGACCCTCCAGGCGGCAAGCCAGCCACCAGCCAGCGCAAAAGCCTGTAGGCACACCAACACCACTCACACCCCCCGCAACCTTTCAAGCCTCAAAATCCGTTACAACTCCCCATACCTCAATATCTGCAAACCTCGAACATCAGTAGCACACCCCTGCCCCCTCCGCCCCACTTCCTCCCCCCAAATCCGCTCGCAACCGACCAGCCCCGAACCTCAAAACCTGACAAGCTGCCACCCAGCAGCCCTCAAAATCTGCGCCCCGCACCTCAAAGTGTCCCAACTTCCCCCAAACCTCAAGATAACCCACACCTCAAGGTTCTTTTTCACTAGCTTTCTCACTGTGAAGCAACCACAGCCAAATAGGGCTGCGGATGGAAAGGCTTTCCCCCCCCTCGGGCTTCTCCCAAGACCGAAACCTCGGAATGGTGCCCCTTTCTTGGATTTCGTTGCAAGGGATGTTTCACCAGAATCCGTGCCGATTCGCACATCTGCGGATAGTAGTCAGGGCAACATTCTTCCAGAATTTATAGCACTAATTTCAAGATAAAGTCCACCGAAAAAATATATTGAGAATTCATAATATGCTTCCCATATAACCTACCGTAGCCGTAGTACGGGGATCCCACCCAAATCCCCAGACCCAGCCCCATGACCGCGTCCTGCTGCAGCTCCTGCGCCACTTGCTGCGCCAGCTGCACAAGGTCCATGAGTCAAGTTCCAGTTCCGTCCGCGGATCTTTTTGACCGGACAAAGGGCGGCTGGTTTCCTTCTCATGGTTCCACTGGAGCTTCATGGTTGCTTGCAGGGAAACCCTAAAGGAAAAAGGAGCAAATGCTGGAGGTTGGGTTGCCAAGGGCGCTGGGCCTGTGCTTGGAAAGAGCATGAAAACTGACCCCACCGGTCCGTGAACTAAAAGACAGAGCGGGGCTCGCTATGCGGGAATCTCCAAAGCGGGGGGGGGGGGGGGGGGATCCTTGCAAATGGTTGCGGGTTCACCCCCATTCATAGAACTTCCTAATGCCAGGACACCATATTTAAATACTTCAGTCTTCCGAAGTCATCTAAGGCAAATGACGCAATGTAACTTTGAGCAAGGCCTGCGTACCGATCCAACAGAAAACGTTTGTCTTCCTCACACCTATACTAGTCCCTTGCTTGCCCTCTTCCTCTTATGGAGATAAAACATTTGAGTGTCCAATGCTTCCCGGCAAAGCAAGGTTGACTTGTTGCTGGCCAGTTGCTTTGTACCAGTGGCCACCATAGTAAACAAGCAGTTGGTTGTGTAATTCCCTGTCAAACTGCTACGATGGTCTTCTGTGGTTGCCTACCGTAGTGAAAAGATCACAGTTACCAGCCCATCCCAGGTCAATACTTTGAAACATCACCACCAAAGGAGATCAATCTTAAAATGACAAGCAAAGTGATGTTACCTGCGCAAACGGGTGCTACCCCAAAAATCGTGGTTTCCCTTTTGGGTGTCCTTTAAAAACCGCAGAAAGGGTGCCCTCCAGAAAAGACCGCCCCATATGGGTATGCGTCAAAATAACTAGGAGACTCCACGATCCTGGTTTCCCTTTCCCTTGCAAAACACCAAAAGGACAACCGGTATACCATGTATACCCTCAAACAACCACGCACCAATACAAGGCTTTCTTGTTCAAAGTCCTGCTTTGCCTGCGTTTCAAGGGCCTTGAGTGGGCGCATTTTTGTTGAAGCTCTCCTTTAATCACGTAAAATTATTTGTGCAAGGTTCAATTTGACCTTGGTTACACGAAAGGAGAGGACCCGCTCATTTAGAGGGTTTCCATTTGAAGGGCTGTCAGGGACGCGGGGGTGGGCCAACCATTTAATGTTTGAGCAGCTGTTCCAGCACCGAGGTTCCCCATGTCAGCTTCCCTCTTGTGGTTTGAAGCCTGATGCGGCAGTTAGGGACGGTTTCCCATTTACCCTCGACAATTTGCAGGGGTTTAGTCCCCCAAACCACGAACCCCACACCAACTAGGGGCTACGAGTAGCTGACCATAAACTGTGCCCCGTGAATTTCGTCCAGTGCGGAAGGCTAGTTCACATTCGCCCGCTTCAAGTAGCAAGTTGGCCCCAAGGACAGGAGGACCTAATACAATTGTTGCACCAGGTCATTGCTTCGAGTTGCCCGGAGCAAGCCTGGTACAAAGCAACTAGACCTTCAGTGGCCAAAGGACAAAACACGGGCATGTGCTTTGTTGATAGTTGGTCCTACCGGAACCCCTCCATCGCCGCAAAAAAAAAAAACGGACAAAAGAGCACCACTGAAGACCTGGGAAAGGCAAACACCCGGGCAGCATGCGCTGGCCGCACGTCTGGCTTCTCTTTTCCCCTTCGAACCCCGCGCAAAGAGCCTGAGCCGTCTCAGCGCTTCTCCCTGCTCTCCCCCGATGGGGTTAG